ACACTGTTATTTGATGTACCACCTCAAGAAGCTCCCTTTTTTACACACTACAATAATTGTTTTTCTCCATTAAAATCATACCAGTCATGGGCACCCACACACTGAGAATCACTTAAAGATACATACATACATACATACATACATACATACATACATACATACATACATATATAATATATATAATATATACACATATATATTTTAACATAGCCCAAAAGAACACTAACTAATATTTATACCTATAATTATATATGCTGGTAGTTTTAGTGATTGGAATCTCCAATAATAAAGTTTGTCATAATCTATTGATTTTTTTGTCATCTGGTTTATTGTTCCTTAGATAACTTCAATGTCATGAGAACAAAAGGCAAAAGGCATAGGTAAAAACATGTTTAGGCTTAGAAAACAGGGTCTTTTCCAGTGAATCATACATATTCTACATGCAAGAAAATTTTACAAGAAAATGTTGAAAATAAATTGCCCCACAGATGTTCATAAATAAAATAACACAAGATTGACATGGTCTAAATAAAAATATGTCTGTCTCAAGACCATATCAGACTTCTCAAATTTAATTTTTCCATGGACAATCAAGTCTTGGACAGCAAAAATCACTGAGCTAAATTCTGATGATGTTTCTGAGTTCATGAATCACTTTCCTATGCATTGTCTCCTTTGAGCTATCCCAAATTATTCCTATCTTCCAACCTCATTGCATATATATGAAATGACTTAATATAAAGTTAGGTCAGGAGCATCAGCTCAGGGGCAATGGTCATGACCGATCTAAATATAAGATCCAAATTTCTATAATTTTAATTCAGTGTACTTTCTATAATACGTAACTGTCTCACTTTTACCCAACTTCAGATGAAGTATGTGTGCAAAGACATGGTCTCCAATTTGTGTCAATTATATTGTCCCGATTCTTGACTTTACAGATTTGACAACTACAGAAGAATCCAAAGATCCAGGACCTGAAATTTGAGAAGGAATATGTTAATATTACAATAAAATAAATACTTGTCAATATATTTTTATGTGGATAAGCCCAACCTATTGCCAAATATCTGTGTGTGTATGGGTTCCTCACACTTCACTTCATCTTCACATAGACTCTAACTCCTATGTAGTTGTTCCTTGCTGAAAACAATTATCAAAGAAAGCCATTTTCTATTTGTGGTGATAAAAGATATTTGTATTCAGAAAGTAATAGTTATTAGAACATGAAAGCTATGGATAATTTTAATATAGAATGAGGACTTTGTCTGTAGCACAGAATGAATATGGAAACTCCACAAGGAAAATATTTTTAAGTGGTTTTATCTAGTGTTCTAAACAATGGGAAAATATGTTTTGTCTAGAAAACTTTATACTATGTATGCTGGCTAGTTTTGTGTGTCAACTTGTCAGTGGAGAAAATGCCTCCATGGGGCCCAGCTGTAAGGCATTTTCTCATTAGTGATTGGTGTGACAAGGTTCATCGAATTGTGAGTGATGCCATCCCTGGGCTGATGGTTCTGGGTTCTATTAGAAGACAGTCTGAGCAAGCCTTGAAGAGTAGGCCCATAAGCAGCATCCCTCCATGGCCTCTGCATTAACTCCTGCCCTGTTTGGGTCCCTGTCCTGACTTCCTTCAGTAATGAACATCAATGTTGTAGTGTAAGTCAAATAAACCCTTTCCTCCTCAACTTTTTTTTTTTTTGGTCATGGTGTTTCATTTCAACAATAAAAACACTAACTAAGACACTATGATATAGTTATAAGTTGAGGAATTTTTGTATCAAATGCCAGCATTGTATTTTCTGTACCTTTCTTCCCATACTTATTTACTTAGCAAGAAAAAAGCACACAATTAATTCTAGCAAAATTATAAATACCTGTAAATATGATAAAAAAAATTCATAATTAAAATATACATAACAGAGTACTAAAATCTTACTAGAATTATTTAAACACTATAAATGTTCTAAGGAACACAGAATATATGGCAACACTTAGTTTTTCCTGTACATATATTTTATAGATATATTTGTAAATCAACATTTTAATTTTATTTTATAAATTAGGATCCTCCAGAAAGGCATAATCAATTTGATGAAAGATAATTAATTAAGAGGATTAATACATGTGATTATGGAAATTGAGACAGACCACAGCAAGCTTTTGCAAGCTAAACAACCAAGGCAATAGCAAGCCTTAAATTTTAGAACCAGGAAAGCTTCTGGTATACCTCTCAGTGGAGAAGTTGAAGACACAAGAGGTCTTGAGTCTGTTGGTGGCTATGGTTGAGTCCAAGAGCAAGAGAACTAATATCCAGAATCAGGGGAAGAAGAGTATCTAGAGTCTAGGAGAGAGAGAGTGAATTTTCTAGTAGTGACTGTTTTCCATGAGTGACTGTTACGTCATCATGATCAAAGTAATGGGCAAAATAACTTTTAAGGAGGAAGGACTTTTTTAGGCTTGTGTGTTCATAAAGTTCAGTTCCCGGTAGCTTGGCCTCCTGTAAAACTTGGGCAGGCCGGGCGGTGGTGGCACACGCCTTTAATCCCAGCACTCGGGAGGCAGAGGCAGGCGGATCTCTGTGAGTTCGAGGCCAGCCTGGGCTACCAAGTGA